CTGCACTTTACTCCACTTTTCCTCAAATTGTCATGTTTGGGGGAAGGTGCCTAACCCGAGACATGCAGAACACAATACAGACCAAAAATGGGGTAAAAATAAAAATTTACAGAGAAGGAAACTGAGGATGCACAGAATGGTCTAAGGCTGGTACTGCTACGGGAACTCTGCGTCTGGAGGAGGGAGAACACTGGTGAGCAAAGTTTAGTTCCTGAAGTCCATTTCTTGTCAGAATTAGTTCAACAGCACTTACAGTAGGACGTGAGTTGCTGGCTGCAGGTTGAAAGCCGGGGGAGCGCAGGAGGGGGAGCACAGGTGGAGATAAGCGGGGCGTCCTGCTGGATGGGGGCACTGAGTAGTGATGTCAGAGGAGAGTTATGGAGAACGGTGAGTGGGTCCAGTGTTCTGAGTATCCAAATCCTGGAGTCCTGAGGTAAGTATCCAAAAGCTTAGCGACCAGAGAACTACACAGGAATCCTGAAGGAGGGAATAAATCCAGAGTCAGCCCCTGGTGGTTAGCAAAAATTCCAAAATCTAAAATACCTAGAGCAAAATACTAATAGCAACATTAATCCTAGAGCTCCAAGAGGAAAAACCTTGAGTAGCTGGATACTACCAAGCTGAGGCAATCTTCCGTTGAATTGTGTCCTCCAACCACCTTAAGTAGGAAACACCCCGCTGATTGCTGATCAGGAACAGCTGGGCACTCCCTCTTTTGGCAAGAGACTCAAAGATGTTAAGGTGAATGAGGAGTACTCACCCCAGCTCATGACACAAACAAAAATACTTTTTTTTTATCTCAACAGAATTTCTTCTTGGTTAAATAAAAAAATTCACACACTTACTGCACTGGTGGTGATGAACTACATTGTAGCCACAGCAGCCCTGGGGCACTGACATGAGCGAGGCTGCACAATCGACACACCACCAGTCTTTCCAGCCACCCTGAAGGTAAGTCGGGTGAAGTGCTTTGCTCAAAGGCACAACATCTACGGCAGACTGTGGCAGGCGAACTTGCAACCCTCTGGCTACAAGGACACTTAACTCCTCTGTCACATGCGCCCTAATGAATGAATGAAGAACTATTTGGGGCATTCTAGAGAAAGGCATTTGATTATTACAAGCCTGAGGTAACAAACTGCATTGATGTTAATGTTTCTGGTCCCTTTAATAATAATGCATTGAACTTATATGGCGCTTTTCTAGACACCCAAAGACGCTTTCACACACTCTCACATTCACACACTGCTAGTGATGGTAAGCTGCTTGTAGCCACAGCCGCCCTGGGGAGGTCTGACAGAGGCGAGGCTGCCATTTGGCGCCGTCGGCCCCTCTGACCACCACTAACACAGGCAAGTTGGGTGAAGTGTCTTGCCCAAGGACACAACAGCAGGATACCTCTAGCGGGAGCTGGAATCGAACCCATGACCCTCCGATCATGAGGTAACCCGCTCTACCACCTGAGCTACTGCTGCCCAATAGATTTACAGAAGGTTACATTTCAAAGGAAATTTCTCCCAGTTAATGGAGAACGGCCTCTGATCAGAGCGATTTCCCTGAGTTCCAGACATCTAACTCCTTTCCACTGCAACAGGCTGAACCCAATCAGCCTCACCAAACAGCTCCAGGCAATATTGCTTATGAATAATTTAACACGAAAGCTGCAAATACAATTAATATTCAGACATTTTCTGTTATCTCTTGTCAGCTTTCTATCTTACTTGCTTCTCTCTGTTGGGAATGATTTGTATTCCGGGGACATTAGGCTGGTCAGGGGCTTGTGCCCATTGACGCAACATGCCAGGCATGCTGAGTGAAACTGGACTGAGCGGTTCTGTCTGCCCTCCTCCTCTGCTTTTCAAAATGGCATCTGCCTTTTGGAGCTTGCAGAAACTTTTTTTTTTGGTAATTTTTTTGTATCTCTACTAATTTAATATTTGAACGGCACGCTCCAGACCATTAAACGTTTAAAAGCTAGACACAGCTCAGCAGTGAGCAACCCTCTCTTAATAAATTATGCATCAGAAAAACATCTCTGAGAATATCACTTGCAGTGATTGCAGGAGACTGACTGCCTTTTGAATTTCAAACAGTTTGGCACCCCCTAGTGCTAAAGTCGGCTAAGTCTGGTAGTCCCAATCAAGCAAATGGAATTAATATTACACAGATATTTCACTTTAGAGTGCCTTTTTAAATCAAGCCATGTGGGATGATTTTAATCATCTGTGCCACGCGCCAGCTTTTTGGGTCAAACACAACTCAGCTTGACAGATCTCACTGTTATATAATTTTCCTGTCATGCTTAAAAACCTGAGATTTGGAGGCATTACTCACAGCATTTCCCATTTGACTTCACACTCTTCACACGCAGCCGCTGAGCCCACTTAACACACTCCATCCTCACACATAGGCTAATCAATTATTCAAGCTTTGATGCTGCAAACAGAACAGCGGTTGTATCTGGATACACTGTGGTCCAAGGGCAGCTTGTAGCCTCTCCTGTGCATGAGCGCAGTGATTCAGTGAAGTTTAAGTTGATGACGTGATGCACTTTATTTTTTATCAAAAACAATTGTGAGGAGGAATTAATGTGTTTGGGATGCAGTTCTGGAAAGCTCGCAGCAGGCTGACGTGCGGGGTGTGAAAAATGAAAGTCACCTTTGGATTCTGCAAGCCACAGTAAAACCTTTCTGTCAGGTCTTAGCTGGAAAGAACAGAGCTGATAGTCTGACCGTGGGAAAGGCAGCAGGGAGGTTGCACCTGTGAGATTTTCCACTTGTGCAACAAAGAAAAAGCAGTCGGTAAAGATTTAAGGAAATGGATCAATGCATGTTGGGAAACATCCATTTAATGTAGTGACTACCAGAGTAGAAGAAAATGAGCACAGTGAGAAAAAAACATGTTTTTACGGTTTTTACTCTAAAATCTGCAATAAATAAATACGTTGCAAAGCTGCAAAGGGTGTAGTGAGCGCTTGAAAACATTGTCCCACATTTCAGGAAATGTAGCTCATCCTGCTTTGAGATGAATTATCCCACTCAGACAGACAACATGCATCAGTTATCATTCATGGCATTATTCTAATCTGACTCCTGAGTTTGAAGCACTGCCGTCAGCCAAAGAAATGCTTCATATCTGTTTTTCTTGATAAGTTTTTATTACCAAGAACATGAACGTATGTTAATTTTGTTGTGATTGCTTTCCCCACTCATGTATAGCATTCTAGTCTCAGGTTATTCACATTTGTTCAATAAAACAACTTGATGTAGTGCAAAATGTAGTCTATGTCAATATTAGAATAGAAAAATAAAGATACAGAAGAACTGAACTGAATTTTTATTGAGTAGATTTACGGCAGAGTAACACACATAGTATAATACAGCTACAAAAAATTTGTTTAGGCATTTTGGTGCAAACATGCCCTGCGATGGACTGGCTCTCTGTCCAGGGTGTACCCCGACTGATTGCCCATTGACCGCTGGAGATAGGCACCAGCCCCCCCCGCGACCCTACGTGGACAAGCGGGTTCAGACAATGGATGGATGGATGGATTTTGGTGCAAACAGTCCTAAAAATATTAATGATAAATGACCTGCACTTCTATAGCACCTTTCAGAGTCATAGGACACTACAGTGTATTATTCATCCATTCACACGCTTAAAGGAGATGACCCACATTGCTGAGACTTACTAATAGCTGTTTGTGCAAAAAGATCAGAACAAAAACTATTTAGAAGCAAACCAAATGAGTGAAGTTAAATGAAAGAATTTAATATCAGGTCTAAATATATAAAGCGACATTTAAATATTGAATGTAATTAATGGTTAAACTGACTTACCATCAAATATATTAAATGGGGATCTTCACCCTGTTTTAAACTGACACACACACACACACACACATACACAAACACATTTTTTGTTCTTTTTGCCTCTTTATTTTTATCTGGAGAAGCACTATGAAAACTATTTTTCCTACTTCTTCAACTTATAAATAACTAAACATAGACCGTATTCAAAATGTTCACGTCACTAGACATTTTGATGTGTTCAAAATATTGAAATTATGCTTCATACATTATTTTTTCTGAATATATAGAAATTTTCTACCTCCTAGACAATGCTTTAGCACATTTTAATTGAGTTTTTTATTATTATCAGATTTGGCTACCTCAATATGATGTAAAATTTTTGTGGTGCATGGTGGCTCAATTGGAGCACCCAGTTTTGTTGAATCTGTGACAATAAAGGATTATTCCAGTCTATTATATTGTTTAGATATTTTGATGTAACTTTACACATTTAGATTTGATGATAATTAGGTTTAACTTTATAAATTTGGGTTTGATTGGAAATATTTTGTGCCATTATTTGAAACTAAAATAAAATACTATGTCATTCATTTTTTTCATGTTTTACTTAACATTTCCACTCATCAGAGCACATATGATATCATTCTCATTATGAGCTCCAGGCTAAACAAATGGAAAATAATAATAATAATAAAAAAAATGTAATACATTGTTTTATTTCATTGTTTGAGATGCATTACAGCCCGTTTTGAGCAGTGCTGTAATCACATTGTTTGTTTGATGGACCATAAGTAGATACAAGAATGCCTTCAAAGTTGCGATAGCACGAGTGGGACGTAATTCCAATAAGCTGTGCAACATGCATCACAGATAAAAATAATACAAACATTTCCTAAAACTCCTTTTACATGTATAATATTACTGTCAAGTATTTTAACACAAAAGAAAACGTTATGTAACATAAAAGGGGGGCACTACTAAAGTTTAAACTGACGAGAAGCTTAAATATTTACACATTTCTCCAAAACAGTTTAAAAGAATGCAGATCCACTTCCTCGCGCAAAGCAACACGCACCAGCACCAATGAATGTAGAAAGAGAAAGCATGCTAGGCTTGTTTCTGTTCCCTGATTGGCCAGAGATACCGGGAAACTTCCTCGTGACATGTCTGCCGGTATAAATACTGAGAGCCTCTCTCTAGTTACGCAGCACTGGTGTATGAGGGGAAAATGTATCGTCTCGGACCACAGTTTTTCTCCAAGATCGCTTTCGATTTCTTTTTATCCACTGTGCCACGGGAACATTTGTATTTTACCAGACTGTACAATAAAGGCTGGTCGTGTATTGGCTGATTTTTGGTCAATTTTACTGAAATCTGCACGAAAATGCCAAGGACCAAGAAAAAGAATAACAAGGGTAAGTCCACGCGCGCCCGCAACGCTTCGGCCTTGCTTCTGTCCATGGTAGTTGTAGTTCTGTAGGCCTTACCAGTTCGTTCAGTTGAATGTAAAGTGTTTACAGTGCGAACTACAAACGTTGCATACCGGCTTACGTGACAACACAAAGCTAACTAGCCATTGTTTTACGAAGCATTGCGGTGTTTTATTTTTGAATAAAGCCTTCGGTGACAAGCTGATATATTTAAACAGTCGTTATAAGTTGTTCTACACACATTATAAACCCTTCATAAGAGTAGCAACCATACTTTACCAGCCAACGTTCGACACTCCCCGAACAAATGTTAATGTTTGCTAGGTCAACGTTGTTTAAATATTTAAAGCTTCTGACACACTGGCGCAACTTTTGCCCCACTGCTCTTTTCTTCATGAGGATAAACGTTATTTTGTAGTGTTTTATCGGAAATTAACAAAAACTGTTTAAGAGGGTGTGTTCGGTGTGTCGGTTCACTCTTAAATAGTCTGATAATTTGCATGTTTCAACCATTTATTCATGATGATTAACATTTATTGACATCAAACTAGAACATCGTGGAGGTATGTGCCTTTTATTACGACTTTTCGGTGTGTGGGGTCTAAAAGAGGACATTGTGTACTCCATGACCGGGATAGCAGAGGGAGGCGCCGCCCGGTTCTCTGGAATCAGCTGTTGGGGGAAAGCCCACGTCAACGCGACCTGTAAACACAGATTAGGCGATCTGCTAAGAGAACATCAGCTCTCTGTTTGGACATGAAAAATGTAGCTGAAGCAACTGCATGCTAGCACGATAAGCTAACAAACGTGTCTTCCTGAGGTCAATTTAGGTCAAGGCAGAGCAGAGCAGCCTGTTTGGGCGACTCAGTCCGGTCTGTTCTGGTCTGATCCCAGTTTGACCACTTCCGGTCGAATAAAAAAAATACTAGAGATGTCTTTGTTCTTAAATGGGGCTAATCACGTTTACCATTCTTTATTTATTGTTTGGGAACTTTAAAATATGAAGTGAATCAAGGCAGGTTTTTATTTTACTTTTTACTGTGGAAGTTCCATTCCACAAAAGTCATTTTCTCGGTAGAAAGGGACTTGCTCAACCAGCAGCTGAGGGCCCGTTTCCTCTGCCTGTCAAAAAGCTTGTGTTCAGCTCAGTAACAACAAAGAGGTGTTTTCCTCAGTCTGTGGTGACCCATGTCTCCCTAACCTGAGCCAGGGTGTGTGTTTAAAGTTAGTCGACCCTGACAATGTTTCCTAATCACCCCTCACACAGTGCACACACAGCTGATTAGTTCACCATGGTATTTGCTGTAATACCTGTGTGGTGGCTAGATTACATAATGACACTAGTCTTCTGTAACAAATGAGTCAAATCCTATTTCCTGTACTCATAAAGTTTGTTTTTAGGGGGCCAGCATGGAGCTGTGCAGCCTTTTAGTGACGAGGATGCCTCCATCGAGACTCTCAGTCACTGCAGCAGCTTCAGTGACGTAACCAGTGTAGCTGATGACGGTAGGTTGTGTTACATTGTACTTTGAGCTTTGTGTCATGCCCTAAAGAGTTATTCTGACACGTGTGCTTTGAGTCACTTTCAGCAAACTAAACTTCTCAAACTAATTTCTTTTTTTCTAGGAGAGGCAGGTGAGGATACTGCCCAGGAGGATTTCCAGTACAAGCTGAAAGGGTTCATAGACAGCACTGTGGACAAGAGGTGAAAGTCCTTGCTGGATTTTAAAATGTTTACTTGTTATCTGGTATTTGTCAAGGGAATACTACATATAAGTCCTTCCTCCTGCAAAAACAATCCTTCAAAGCTGCAAAATGTGCTAGTGGCTTGAAATAAAAATAGCCTCTTGTATTAATAAGGAAGTGCCACTTTAGTGTAAATGCAGAGACCTCCATCTGGTGAAGAAAGAAAGACATTTTTCTTGGATTTGGCCCTTTTTAAACAAACATTTATTTATGCAAGTTCTTTCTACATTTATGACAAAATACATTCTAGTGAAAAACCATTTATCAAAAACAAACCATTAGTTATAATTGTTCTGAAAACTTACCATTTGTTGTAGAAGCTCTCCTTAATCTGCCATATAAGAAAAACTACCCCCCCACCTCCAATTTTGTGTAAAGGCTTTAATGTTGCAGATGTTGGAAAAAAATGCATACCGTATTTTCACGACCATAGGGCGCACCGTGTTATAGGGCGCAGCTTCAGTTGCGGGTGTATTTTTGGTATTTAACACATACAAAAGGCGCACCGGGTTATAGGGCGTGGGCGTGGCACGGTAAAATGTACCGGTAAAACATCTGTGTGGGCTCGGGACTCGGAACATATCAGTGCAAACCAGACATTGTGAAAATTATAAACAGCCAAAAGCATGCTTCACTTTACTGGTTCAGACCTGGTTCAGAGCGCACGTGCACTTCCTCATTGCATGCGCTGACGGCTCGTGCTCTTCTTATGCGCTGTGTTGAAGTTCAGAATGTGTTTACCGGTAGTTGGTGGATTTAACCGCATAAACTTTCCACATGGACAAAATCATATGTGTGTTAACTCATTCACTGCCAGCCGTTTCCTGATCGCTAACGGCCTTCGCTGCCAGCGTTTCTCACCGTTTTTACTGTTTTTTTAAGAGTCACAGAACGTTGAGTGCTAGGATGATGTTGACGCCAAAACAAAGTGGAGACTCACCTCTTACATCAGGAAGAATCCGTGTGTTTTCAGCGTTATCCGTTCTATCATAATCCGTTGTCAAATTGTGATCGGCAGACGCTTTTCCGGTTTGCGCCTCACTTTTTTTTACAGGAACGGCCCAAAGCGATCTCCTAACACATGGATGTTCTGCTTCCTGATCACGTGATGTGTGACGTATGTGGATGAAGATCAGCTTCAGGGCTGAGATGTTTGTTCTCTCCGCATGGGGGCTCGTTCCGATTTTCAAACAGTAAAAAAATGCCAATGACGACTAAAGTCGTCATTGGCAGTGAATGAATTAATAGGCCTAAGAAAATGGTGTGATTTGAATTGTGTTTTATTAAAAAAAGGCAGCTGGAGCAAATATGAGTTCGGTTGTGCTTTATTTGAGTGCTATTAATTAATCATCAAATCCATCAAAGTCCTCATCTTCTGTATCTGATAAGAACAACTGGGCTAGAGTACAGTCAAACACGCCAGGTTCTCTCTCGTCAGTCTGTCTCGTTGCCGTCCGTCTCCTCGTGAATGATGCCGGCTTTTGCAAACGCCCGAACAACAGTACAAGTAGACACACTAACCCAAGCATTTACAATCCATTCACAAATTGCGGCGTAACTCACCCGGCGTTGCCTCCCAGTCTTCGTAAACGTGTGTTCGCCATCTGTCATCCATCGCTCCCACGCCGTTCGCAGCCTTACTTTGAACGCCCTGTTCACGCCAATGTCCAGCGGTTGGAGTTACTTTGTCAAGCCTCCCAGAATGACAGCGAGCTCCGAGTTCATTTGCTTCACCTGTTTTTTCACACCGCCCGTGAGATGAGCGCACATGGAGTCATATCAACAGGGACGGTGAGGTGTGGAAAAAACCGCATGGTCTCTTCACATTCACCTCATTCAGCCACTCTTTCATTTTGTCCTCATCCATCCAGCCCTTTTCGTTAGCCTTAAAGATGACTCCAGCTGGAAAATTCTCTTTAGGCAGAGTCTAGAGGTTGTCAGAACAATGTTCAGCATACCGCGCATACCTGCCCTTTTGAACTATTCGGGGTCTGTCTTCGCTCACGTCCGCATGTTCTTGCCACGCCCCTTGTCTTCTACTACGTTCGCGTCTCACAACACAATAGGTGCACCGCACCATAGGGCGCGGTGTACATTGGGAGAAAATGTAGGACTTTTAGGTGCACCTTATGGTCGTGAAAATACGGTACATTAATTTTTATAATCCATGTAGTTTAGCTTGTGGCTGCAGGTTGTAGAACCCCAGTTTAAGGTTGATGTGACCTTAGATCTGCTTGATTATGATTGAAAGATTAGACCCCCACCCCCCCACCCATGTTGAAATCACAATTATTTAACATTTTTATTCAATTAGTTGAAGAAATGCCATCCAGAGTTCACATTTTAAAGAGACTGCAGGTATTGATTCACATCAGCAGATGGCAGAATTGAGCGGTTTAGTTGTGATTAAAACTGATGACATCATCAGCTATGAGACTACACTACTTGTTTCACACTAGAATCAACAGATTGTTCAAATGTTTGGATTTAGGACAAGACATAATAGTTAGTATATCATTCAAAAATTTGGTTTTAAACACCAGCTAACTGAACTAAATCTGCTTAACTGATCAGTCACGTTATCGAGACTGTCAGGGCACTGCTATAAAAGCAGAGAAGAGCTGCTATGGGAGCCAGGAGGTCCAAATCAGTTTTTTAAGTTTTGTGAATTCTGAGTCTTTTTATTGAAGATAAAACGTTTGTTTCTCAGTGCCAAGACGAGACAAGGGGCTCTGGATGGCCTTAAAACAGCGATGGCCACACGGATCCTGTATGAGTTCATCTCTGAGAGAAGGATGACGATCACAGACAGCATTGAGCGTTGCCTCAAGAAAGGTATTTTCAGGCGTCATTTCGATTCTCGTGGCTAACTTCCTTGAAATCATGAATCTGTCCCTGCTTCTGTTAGGGAAAGGAGAGGAGCAGCGGGCGGCTGCCTCTTTAGCCTGCCTGCTGTGCATTCAGCTGGGGTCAGGAATCGAGAGTGAGGAGGTGTTCAAGACCCTGAAGCCTATTTTCAAAAACATCCTGGCAGATGGATCGGCCAACATACAAGCCAGACAAGCGGTGAGTAGGATCGTTATGGTGATGTAGCTTAGCTTGAATCAGTTGTGGCATCTTGAATTTCCCCTGGACATCAACTGATTATTTATTTATTTTTTTGTGACAGGTGGCGACGAGTCTGGGACTTTGTACACTTGTTGCTGAGGATGACATTTTTGTGAGCTCTTAATCACTTTTGGTGTTTTGTTTGTGGTTTTGACATGTCTGGCCTTGAGGACATCACCGTGACAGCATTATGTCCTCCTCATCGGCTCTGACATTGTGCCTAATCTGATCCAGACACTTTGGATTCAGCAGAATTAGCAGCTGAGCTCAAACACGCCTTCAGAAAATTGTAGCCTTTCAAGGCCGTTTTTGTGTGATCTCATTCCAGGATGTTCAGGCGACTATGGAGTGCTTTGAGAACCTGTTCACCCGGTCTTATGCGAAGGCGGACGGTACCTGTCCTTCCATCAACCCGCAGACGAGCCAGCTCCACGTAAACGCCTTACTGTCCTGGACACTGCTGCTCACCATCTGCTCGGCCAATCAGCTCAAAGACATTGTGCACAAGTAAGAGCCAAACCATTGGGGTTTTAAAAGAAACCTCCATCGTTAATGTGCTTCTCTGTGGTTGTGCAGACATCTGTCCAAACTGCAGAGGTTGCTGGAGAGTGATGATGTCAACATGAGGATTGCTGCCGGGGAGACCATTGCTCTGCTCTTTGAGCTAGCCAGGGACATTGAGCCTGTAGGTTCACTTCTGCACCACCAGTGGCAGCATTCAACACGAACAACTGTTAAAAACGTTTCTGTCTTTCAGGAGTTTGAATTCGATGGCTGGGACGAACTGTGTGAGAAGCTGAATGCTTTAGCTACAGACTGCAACAAACACAGGGCTAAGACTGACAAGAGGAAGCAGCGGTCGGTCTTCAGAGACGTTCTCAAAGCTGTTGAGGTAAAGTTTGTTTTTCTATTTTCAATCCAGAATGGGTTCAGAGTTTCGAGGTGGGTGCCTTATTTAAGTATTTTCTTGTATATTTTTCCAGGAGGGGGATTTCCAAACGGAGACGATTCGCTTCGGAACAGAACGAATGACCATTGACAGCTGGGTCAGAAAGAGGACCTATGATACTTTCAGAGAGTTTGTCGGCTCTGGGATGAACTACCACCTGCAGGTACTTCACGTCTCCTACACGTGTTTTGTGTTTGCTGCTAACCAGGTTTAATGCATCAACTATTTCCCAACCAGGCAAATGAATTCATCAGAGATGTGTTTGAGCTTGGGCCACCCATTTTGGTCGACTCTGCTACTATGAAGGCCATGAAAATTTCTCGTTTCGAAAGGGTACGTGTCCTCGACGTGTTTTTTTTTTTTTTTCTCACACTTTATCTGTCAAACAGGTTCTGATCCATGTTGCTTTTGTTTTTCCAGCACCTCCACAACTCTGCAGCATTCAAGGCTCGGACCAAAGCCAGAAGCAAGTTCAGAGACAAGAGGGTGGATGTGGGGGAGTTTTAACCTTTTCTTTGTAGACTTTGTTAGGCTATTTATGAGGCTTTCTCCACTTTTAGATGAGTTGTCACAAATTGGTCTTCATGTATTCATCTCCCCACCTTACCATCTGTATTAAATCCTCACCCTCTAGAAATATGAAGTACGGATTAATCTCTGCTGCTGCGTGTCGTAGAACAGGAAGTCCTTAATATATAAATGAAATCCGAATATAATATTGTGCATCAGCAGAAAACATTTGGTGTTGTGTATATTTGTCTTTTCTCTACTTTCATGTATGTTCATGATCTGAACTGTTTTCTTCTGTTTTTGAACATATTTAGTAATTTATAAAAAAAATTTCCAACAGTTGTGGTTTTTCATTGTAACAATATGGCGACTAACCCTCCAGAGTTGTATTAACTTGCACTACCTTGTAAACCTGGATTATTTATGAAACATCCCAGTCCGTTTAGTTGTGGTCATATTGTTATCAGGCAGGATGGTGTAATAAATGCTGAAAACGGCTAATTACTTTTCTGCTCCAGTTTGTTTCTATTCTGATTTAGTTGATACATTTGTGAGCTGGGTGGGAGGATAAGAATCCTTTTTTACTTGAACACAAACTAAAAGCAGCAGATTTAGACCCACAACCACCAGCCTCTGCTTTTATAAAGCTGTTAAAACGGTGTAGAGCTGCAGGGAAAGTTGCAGCTACAGAGCCGTCGATGCTGAAACCACACCGCAGTGTTGTAACTCGGGTGAGATGCTTCCAGGGAAAGACGGAAACTAAAAGGTATATTGCTCAAAAATTAAAGGGAACACTTAAACAACACAATGTAACTCCAAGTCAGTCACACTCTGAAATCAAATTGGAAGCAACACTGCCAATTTCACCTGTTGTACAAATGGAAAAGACATGGAAATTAGAAGCAACTAGCAAGACATCCCAATAAAGAAGTAATCCTGCAGGTTGTGACCGCAGACCACATCTCTGTTCTCATACTTTCTGGCTGATGTTTAGGTCACTTGTGAATACTGGTGGGACTTTGACTAGTGGCAGCATGAGGCAGAGTCAACAATCCACACAAGTCGCTCAGGTAGTGCAGCTCATCCAGGATGGCACATCAATGTGAGCTGTGGCAAGAAGGTTTGCCGCGTCTGTCAGCGTAGTGTCCAGAGCATGGAGACGGTCAGGAGGGCAACAAACCAGCAGCAAGACCACTCGCTACTTCAGCCTTTGTGCAAGGAGGAGCAGTGCCAGAGCCCTGCAAGATGACCTCCAGCAGGCTACAAATGTGCACGTGTCTGCTCAAACGGTCAGAAACAGACTATGAGGGCCCGTCGTCCACAGGTGGGGGTTGTGCTTGCAGCCTAACACCTTTGGCGTTGGCAAATTAGCCACTGGCCCTCCTGTGCCCTTCACAGATGAAAACAGGTTCACCTGCATGCCGTGGAGAACATCATGTTTCACTTCATCCACCAATGCCCCATTGCACCACAGACTGTCCAGGAGATGGCGGATGCTTCCAGGTCTGCATGGTGGCGCAGTTGTTAGCACTGTTGCCTCGCAGCACGAAGGTTGCATAAATAAACATAAACATAGTTCTGGAAAGAGGTCCTTCAGGAGACTATCCTCCGCATCAGGAGCATGCCCAGATGTTGTAGGAAGGTCACACAGGCATGTTGAGTCCACACACACACTACTGAGCCTCATTCTGACTTGTTTTAAGTTCACTACATCAAAGTTGGATCAGCCTGTAGTGTTTTTTCTACTTTATTTAGAGTGTGACGCCAAATCCAGACGTCCACGAGTTGATACGTTTGAATCCCATTAATACATTTTTTGTGATTTTGTTGTCAGCATATAACTATGTAAAGCTAAAGTCCGACAGTCATCATCACACACTGGTGAAATTCATCTCTGCATTGGACCCATCCCCATGGAGGGGAGAGGTGAGCTGTGGCTGCGCTCGGGAAATATTTGGTGGTTAAACCCTCCAATCCAACCCCTTAAAGCTGAGTGTCAAGCAGGGAGGCATTGGCTCCCACTTTTAAAGTCTTTGGTATGACCCGACCGGGAATCAAACCCTGATCTCCCAGTTCCAGAGTGGACCCTCTACCACTAGGCCACTGAGCTGGTAAAGAACAAAGTATTTAATGAAAATATTTTGTTAATTCAGAACTAGGATGTCTTATTTTTGTGTTCCCATTAGCTTTGAGCATTTAAGCAACGTAGCTTTTCTGACTAAATAAAGGCAATAAGTGTCACTTTTTCATCATATCTTAAAATTCTTCAATTGATTGCTAAGATGTTTTTAAATGAAAAAAAGATGGTTTAAAGTAATTATTAAAATTATTAAGACAACTTTGCTCAGATTTTAAATGCTGATTGTAATACGAACACTGATAAAAAAAACCAGTCATTCCAAATCTTCACAACTGGTTTTATATAGAGTCAACATATGAGTGCATTAAAATGTTGATATTTCTAATGTGGCTAAAGAAAATGTTAGGGTCTTCAAAATGTCTCACATCAGATTAATAAAAAATGTGCCTTATTCATCTGCCATTGTGTAATTTTAAACACCTCTGTTTAAACTTGTTTGTGTTTTGTTGCATTCTTATCAAAAGAATGTGCCTAAAAGAAAATTACATTATATCTTTACTGTCAATATCAGGTAGTCACAATAAGAAATCTAGATATCACACTTCTCAGTTTTCAATGACGTTCCCATATCAGTGCTGTAGATCCTGGTGGTGTGGATGAGTGAGTCGATGTCTCGCTCACTCTTGGCATACAGCTTTATATCATCCATGTGGAGGAGGTGACTGATTGTGGTTCGATTCTTGAGGTTGGTATTCATGGCCAGTCTTGTTTGTCTGAGGAGGTTCAGACCTTCGCAGAACAGCAGTGGGGACAGGGTGTCTCCTTGTTATATGCCACATTTGATGGAGACTCAAGGTTAGTTTTCCACAGCCCCATTGAGTTTTCCAAAAAGTCTGTCAGAGTACAGTTCATGTCATACAGCTCCAAGCATTCAATGATTCATGAGTGCAGCACTGAGTCATAGGCAGGTGTGTCTAGCAGCAGCAGCAGTATATATATATATATATATATAAATATAAATATATATATATATATATATATATATATATATATATGTGTGTGTGTGTGTGTGTGTGTGTGTGTGTGTGTGTGTGTGTGTGTGTGTGTGTAAAAAAAAAAATATATATATATATATTTTTTTACATATATTAGGGATGGATAATACAGTCAGGTTCATATAAATATTGGGCCATTGACACAATGCTAACATTTTTGGCTCTATACACCACCACAATGGATATCAAATGAAACGAACAAGATGTGCTTTAACTGCAGACTGTCTGCTTTTATTTGAGGTATTTACATCCAATTGCCAAAATCATCAATATTATAAACAATAAAAGGCTTGAACTACTTCAGTTGTGTGTAATGAAACTAATATATGAAAGTCTAATGTTTATCAGTATATTACAGACAATATTGAACTTTATCACCATATGCTAATTTTTTGAGAAGGACCTGTACAACAAGCCTGAAATAGTTCATGTGGTGGAGATGCTAAAGCTAATGGTTAGCTTTTACAAGAGTGCTCTGCTGTTGGCTGTACGCTAAAACAACAACAGCCTCCTCCATGGGTGGTGCTTAGTTTTGCTGTAGTAATGGACAGACTCAGCCAAGCAACGGCTTTGCAGCTCCATATCCTGAAACACTCAGTCCATGCCAACGGAGAACAGAAACCCCTTACACTCACTAAGCAACTGTAAAGCATCTGCAAGGAAGGAATCCTGACACTGCTTCCTGCCTTCCTCATTGTGAGTCAAGATGGGAAAGTCCATGAATGTTAAAGGTGTGGGACACTGAAAAAACATTTTTAAAACCTTATTTCTGATTTTAATCGGCCACTCTGAGTTAAACATGCAGGCTGAACATAAAAATAATCCTCTACACCTAGTTCCTGCATTAGATTATGATAGAAAATAGACAAAATCAGACACTAGGATTTGAAAAACCCATGTCAGATCTATGTCACACTGTCACTTAACATTCATGGACTCACCCATCTTGCCTCACAACGTGGAATGCTGCTGTTTTAGAGTCCAGGAAACAGAAGATAATGGCTGTGTTCGAGATGAGCCAGTTCTGCACAGATTAGACCAGCGGTGATCGGCGAGCAGTGCATGCCGGTTAGATTTGTGTCCGACTTGATGCCGACTTGCTCTGACGTCATGCATACATAGGCATCGATAACCTTGTGGGATCAAGGCAGCCGCAGATTTTGGAGCACCAGAATTAAAATAAATAATAAACAAATAATTAAACAAGTATGAACTCTAACCGACTCTAACGCAATATCTTCAGCCATCGTCACCCCCGAGCTACACATGTAGGGAAATCTGTCTGACTTAAACGCCGGCTTTCAGCCACCCCCCCTGCTGCTTCCGTCTGCTCTCGTCTGTTTTCCAGGCGAGGCGCAGCTCAACTCGAACACGGCCAACGTCTCAACTAGTAGAAGCTAACTGTTAGCATTAGCAACTCTGCCCCTCCCACCTCCCCTGAATATGACTTTCAAGGCATTCATTCCTCCTGGAGACCACTGCAAATTTATTGATTAAACAAGTGTTCAATACCTTGTTTGCTACTGTCGAGAGGCTAACTAATCTCCCAGCACAGCTAGCCCCGGACTTCATATCTCAGACCAAATGTGATGAATTTGCATCATTCTTCAATAAAATAAAAATCACAAACAAATTAGCCATTCATTCCTCTAAATCAACTAATACAAACAGAGCACTGACACACGCAGCAACAACCTGGCCAGAATGCCAAATTTTACCCTGATTAGTACTAAAACACTCAATGACATAGTAAAGACCCTAAATTCCTCTACCATCTGTCCGGACAGCCTGTCTACAAACTTCTTTAAAAATGTTTTTAGTTGCCTAAAAGCTGAGGTACCGGAAATTGTTAACTGATCTTTAACATTAGGTCTTTTTCCTAAACCACTCAGAACTGCTGCTGTGAAACCCCTTCTAAAGAGAAAACTAGATCCCTCAGTGTTCAACAACTACCAACCTATCTCTAATCTCCCTCTGATTGGAAAAATCATTGAAAAGGCGGTAATTATCCAAATAAACAATTATTTAGAGTCAAATAACATTATGGACGGTCTTCAGTCAGCCTTTCGAAAGCACCACAGGCAGTATTCATAGTTATGGCTTTAATCTTGTATTTATGACTCCTACCTTATTAAAATAACATTGAAACAGATATCTGTGACTTTTTTGTCACATAATTGAGATATTTCATTTCAATGTTCACTTTAAATCTAATGAAGATTAATTTGAAACTTAAAAATCTGAACTTGACAGTCACAATGATTCGATTGGGTCTGAAATTATTGTCTCTAAAAAACTAAATTCTCTAAAAAAAAATCTCTAAAAATCCCAAACAGAAAATAGATCTGTTTTTAAATTTTATTTTTCTAAAAAGACAAAAACAACATTCAACTTCATGTCATCCAAAAATCCTGCATGTTGCAATATTTAGATCTGATGCAAAATCGGTATGTTTTGTATTCTTTGTGCTTACATTACTGTGAATGTGGTAAACAATGACAGCTGCTTTAATCATATTAAGGTTGATGTAATTTTAAACATGGCCAGGTGGTGGCAGTTTTTCACCATTTAGCCATCAGGTGGATCAACGCATGGGATTTTCTTAATCACATCTATTTGGGAAAATGAGCAGATCTGATGATGCAGATCATTATTCTTAGATAAAACATGGAGGATATCATTACATCACACATATATTTATTGCATGAAATAAATTGTTGTTACTTTCTTTATTTTGATGGGTTTGAATGACAAATTTCTCCTTGCATGACCGGAATAATGCAGACATTTGCCAGCTCTGGACACAGGTCACAACTCTAAACAATTGCACTGACTTTTTTATTGTTTGTGTGTCATTCATCCTGCAGCACAACAAAGCCAGCCCAGCATCACGCTGGGAAAAGCTGACACCATATGGAATGTGGTTATAGACTTGAAATAAAGTCAAGCAATACAAATTTGTCATGCTGGGCACAGATGCATCGTAGCTCACACACTGTGTGACTCACCGCTACTGTACACTCACAAATAAATGTGCATTATTCACAAGTGCACATGCACAAATACTGTTAAGCTTTGTTCTGCCCCTCCCTCTCCGATTCTTCTCCCTCTCCTCCATTCCCAACCTTGCCTTCCCTTTTCTATCTCTCTGCCTATTCCCCTGTGTGCTGCAGTGACAGGTGCAGACCCCTATCAAGGATGACAACTGTTCACCGGATGATGCCACAGAGTGGAAGCGAGAGGCCGCAGTTAAGGGGACGACACCGTCTCAGCTAGCAGCACACTAATTCAGCCTTTTAGGATTAATCTCTAAATCCATTGTGTTTCCTCTTTTATCGTTTGGTTGCTCCGTTTTTACAAACCCAAATTTTCGCCTTAAAACAGGTTCAGCACACATCTGACATGTGAAGCTGTGAAAGGCACATTTAGCTCCCAAATCTATGACTCACAGCCTGAGTCACCGGCAGTACATCCAGATTACAGGGTTTCCCTCCATTTGCTTCTCTCACTGGCAGCTTCCTAAATTTAAACTAAAGCTTAAACGCAGTCAGGGGGACTAGAGAGTCGACATAAACACCAGTGAATTCAAAGAATCATAATGTGTGGAACAGCCGTTGTTTTTGGTAGAGATTAAAGAGACAATGTGTAGTTTTTACCAATAATCTCCGGAGACATCCATCAAAATGTTTAACATGAATTAAATGATGCAGAGTTGTTGAAAAATATTGGTGGCTTCATCACATATAACCATAAAAAATTGGGTCTAAAATACATGGGAGTGGGTTTAAGTCTAGACACCATGTTTCTTTCTACAGAAGCCTGTGAGGACAACATGTATTTACTGATTTGTAACAATTACAAAACTTTCATCATTCATAAATGTTGTTTTACACATTTACCTCTTCAGTCGTTGCCAGTAATGAAAGGGAGTCTGAAGTTCTTGGCACTTTGCTGGAGGTTGCGCTCCCAGGGGTTTTTGACCCTAATGGCCATCTGTTGATATGTTCTTACTCGAACACAAAAATACCGCTTGCGGGTAACAATTTAGGTGTATACTGCCCCCTATCACCAGGGAAAATACACATCGTCACTTTAAACTAAAATCATAAAGGCGTTATTGCTAACATTAGCAATATAACTGCTAATTTTACTTGCGTAAAATCACAATGTTAAAACGTTTGTGCAGATGAAACACACAAAGAAATGGATGCTGGAACTTTGTAATGTATTTGGAGATGGCATAAAGCCTGGGGCACACCGGAGGTGGACACGCTGCGTCGCGCCGGAGATTTTGAGAAATCAAGTGGTCACACAAGACGTGCAGAAGCTGAATCCATGTTTATGGGTCAAATTATTCACCTGTTACAAAAGTGCTTAAATGACAAATATAAATCTCTCAAATTAATTTTCAGCAACAATAAGATGGTTCAGTCAAATTTTTATCACTCCTTTGCTTTTTTTTCTGCACAACATTTAAACTTTTGCACACATCTATATTCTGTTTTTAATAAAATGCTTAAATAATCCATAGATACCTATAAAACACCTGAAACACCTTTTTAGGGTTCTACAACCCCCCAAGTCGCTTCACAGCACAATCAGTCATTCACCCATCCACACACACGTTGGTGGGGATGAGCTACAATGTAGCCACAGCTGTCCTGGGGTGCACTGGCAGAGGCGAGGCCTGCCGAACACTGGCGTCCCTCGACCATAAAACGGTTTTCTAGATTTGCATGATTCTTCAGCAGAGATTCACGCTCAAGCTTCAACAAATTACCCACTTCTGATCATGTTTGGCTCTAGAAAGAATCACCACAACAGCAGTTAAATGCTTAAATTAAGATGTTGGATTAGCCCGGAGAAAACGAGTCTGCATCCAAAAATCAGACAGTTTTAAATAAATCATGAAGTCAAAAACCAAGTTTGCTTTAAATAACTTTTGGTTTGTGCCATCACAGGTACTTACATGTTTGAAATTATATCTCTGTGTGTGTGTGTGTGTGTGTGTGTGTGTGTGTGTGTGTGTGTGTGTGTGTGTGTGTGTGTGTGTGTGTGTGTGTGTGTGTGTGTTGGCCTGCAGAACATGTTTATCTGCTTTGAACATGGATGTCTTTCATATTATTGACTCCAGAAAGCAGCTTCTTGCAGTTGCTAGGGCCAAATGGAAACTCGAGCTGAATTGTATAGAACTGGATCAGTTATGTGTTCAAAAGGAAAGAAAAATCAGACTGATGTTAAAATTGATTCCCATCACTGGTTTCAGTTTGGCCATCATCAGCTGCTCTGTAATCAGTTCCTGTTTGATTCTACTTTGGCGAATTCCCCTGTTTATGCAGGCATACGCCCATGTGTGTATTAAATCTGTGCCTCACATGTTTCTAGAAGACCGTAATAAGGAATTCATGAAGTCATCAATTCATTTGTCACTCATGGGATGAAAGCAGCTCATCCTTTGTCTGAAATGTAAACAGTAGATCAAAGCAGACGCATCAAGACCTGAATGTAAAGGAGACACACACACACACACACACACACACACACACACACACACACACTGTTTCACTTAGCAGGGTAAGCTGTTGCCAAGGCTCCAAACTAGCGAGACGATTGGCCGCCTCTGCTCATCACTGCAGAACCTCTCAGTCTGGATTGGCTGATTCTATAAAGGAAGCTTTTCAAGATGTTTTCTCACCTCCTGCTTTTAACAACCTCTGGATCTCTCATTACTCTCATTATGGTGCCACCCAACCAGTCCCCTTTAATTTGATCTTTTTGTAGCATTTTACTTCATTTTTTTGGTGTACTAGGCACAATTATGTAGAGTTAATAAAGGGCATGAGTGGAGTTGAGGTGACAGATCCAGTCACATTATCATGTGATTCATAGCTTCAATCGAGAAGAATCAAAGTATTTCTTCTTGATTCCCACTTCTTTATTCCCATCTGAGAGGAAAAGCACATTTATGATGGAGAAATGTGAGAAGCACCAATGACAAAATACGTCCTTGGCCTCAGGGTGAGAGTGTGTCTGTGTGCGTTCACATGCGTGTGCACGGCCGCTTGCATGTTTGCAGGCCTCTGGCTGTGTGCGTGCATGCGCTGTAGTGCATCTCTGACACTGCCTGCATGTATGTGCTGAATTAAACAAGGTCAGTCTGAGTGAGGATGACTGCAGAACCGTCTCGTGTGCACTCAGACCATCTCTACGTTCGGAGATGGTAAAGTTGTTAACATCCTGCCTTGAGGAGGACACAAAAGGGATGAAAGGACATTCCCGAAAAATGACAAGTGATTATGTAACTCACATGCATCGTCATATACAGCAGCAGCCTTTTAGATTAAAAGCCATAAACTGGAAGGCATAGCTAAAAACGGGTAAAGAACAAAGTGGTCATAGATATGGGAAACAAATGATAAATGACCCGCACTTGTAGGACTGTTGTAACGTGAGGAAATATGAGTTTTCTGTCACAATGGTGGTGTTGGACTCAGCTGGGTCATAGCTGGGTCGCTGAGAACTTTCACCCACAGATTAAGACCTGAACGCCAGCGAGTCTGGGAGGAAACCATAACATCTGCCACCTGCAGTCTACCAGAAGATGTGTTTACATGAGTTGTACCCAGACCAAGTCAAAACATAAAGTTTAAACTTCTTTTTCTTGATTTTAATGTTAAAGTAACCATTATCATTTTGCTCATTATAAATGTGATTAATCAAATGAATGACTATTTAGCTTTGGGGTAATTATAATGGTTTAATGAATCCATTCTTAAATAATGTTGAGAATGTTTGTTACTGACCTTCACACACACTCAAGCACAAACATTCACACACATCCACACACACCTGCTCACAGTAAACTCCAGACACATTTGATGATGCACGTTTGCTTTGAGAAGAGAAAGGTTTTTGGTAAGTTTTCAGTCTTTTGATTCAGTTCGTGTTGGACAACGAGAGAGAACAGACCTGAAAACCAAAGGGGGGGCAGAGCCTGTTGGCTCGTTCTCCCCCCCTTTCACGCTGTTTCTGCCAAGCCAGGCAGAATAGCTGAATCGCGACTTCTAACGAAGACTCATTACCGAGTCTTTTGATTTCTGAGTGAATTAACTTAAGAAAGCGCATCGATAAAACGCTCTACCATCCACGTGTACCGAGGGCAACTCTGGACCGGTTCCGTTCGACACCTATGTCTCCTGTCAGCCGCCGGTGTCATCTGGATGAACCACAACATCCTCCACGGCCCGGATCCGAAAGAGGGTCCACAAGAGTTCGGTGAGACAGAGCACGGTTTTAGCGTTTGATGCAGTTCTCTGATAAGACCTAAGTTTATCCAAACCATCACTTCACTCAGACACCTGTTTCTTCTTGAAGCAAAATCAGACTCACACACGCATTCATGTCACAACATTCTCAATCTTCATAAATTCACCAGAAGGTCTATTTGAGCAAGAACAGCACATAAACTGTTAAAAGATTGTCCCACAAAGTTGCCAATGTGATTGTTATTTCCTGTTTGTCAATTTTCAAAATCATTAGTTTAATTTGAAGAATTAAAACTTTTAATCCTTCAAACTTGTTTCCTCATTGAACTGAAACACAGACACTCAGATATTATCGGCAGTTTATGGATGAAAACAACCTTTGAGTCTTCTGAACAATATAAAATTTGGTTATTGATTTATTAAAATTAATATTCCGAATTAATACGTAGCATGGTTTCTCTTTCATAAAAGAGCATAAATCCATAACGCTACATTTAATGGCGAGCGTATCCAGTCTTCTATATCTGCGATATGTCTGATTTCGTACATCTAAAAGCTACAAACAACGCTTTTCTCTGTGTTTCACTTTGATGTCTTATTTTGAACTTAACCGGAAATTGTTCCGCTCACTAAATTCTCCGAACCTCAGAACCGAGACTAAATTCTCGGACACCTTTCGTCTCAGTGTGTTGACACTGTGGGCGAGCTATTGTGGAAAATATCTCCATTGCATGAGCGACTTATAGAAGCCGAATCTGAACGGAATGCCCGTAGGCACCTACTGTTGCTTGATTGCACGGTAAACGTCGTAAGCCGGGTTATGGCCGTCACGCGTTACTGCATTCAGATTGCGTACGCTTTTTAAAGTCCGTATTACAAGCGGGGCGAGATGCCTACTTGTTAATCGGGAAAATTTAAGTCTGGTCGCTACAGACAAAGAACGCTAGACCTGGCCGGAGAGCTAAGCTAGCACCACAGTTAGACAAAAAGGGAACGCGTCCCGTTAGATTGTCATACCATTTCTGACACAGTCAGTCTGTGTCCTCACAAAACCCGCATTGGCGGTGGTTCTTGTAAATCGCTACGGTGTGTAGAATCTACATTTTGATACGTTTGTCCGTCTGATAGCATCTCGGCAGCGTAGGGTTTATTATTTTTTTTATTATTTTTATTTTGGACCGGTGATCGGGTCGGCTTTCACAGCCTCCATCGCTCGGATCCATGCCTTTTTCTTCCATCTTGTGAAGTTGTGTGTATTCATTTCTCTATCAACAATTCCTTGTTTTACCCTGTGTCATAAAGTTAAGTTGAGCTACGGACAGTCCTTGTTTGTGTGAGACATATTAAGGAATCTGCCCGGAGTTTTACGTCGGCTCAGAAGGTAAAAACGCGAGTTGCTCTGAACTTAATGGGAGATGGACGAGACACGACAAAATCTTTCTTGCACTGTTACACCTGGTGTAGGGTTCTCTGACGTTCTGCTTCCAGAACATGCCATGACGCAGGAGACTGTTCACCGGCTGGGCAACGCTGGTCCCTCCGCCCGCCCGAACGGGCCCGTTTTAAGCGGGTGCCGCCGGTCGGGAGCAGTGGGGACTAGTGGCTGCGGTTCGGTGCCAGCTGCACTGGGTCGGAGGTGGTTCTGGTCTGCAATTCATGACGTGAATTCATGCAACATGCTGTTTACAGTCATAACGCTTTTTCTTTACTTTTATTTCTTCCAGGGGGTCAAAAACCCACCATCAACATCAAGGTTTGAAATAAACAACACTTTCTCTGCTGCTTTTAAGCTGAATAAATCTCTTGAGCCTATGGTTAACCTCTCTGACAAACAGGTTGTGCTTAATCCTTTGGTTCCTAATGCTTCTCCTCTGTCATCCATGTTAAAGGCTGAACATCCCTCCAGCATGGGTGTGAAATCTTCAGGCTGTGATCCACCGCTTCAGTCAGAGGTCTGTTTTACTTGTCAGTCCGCTTCATGCACAAACCAGCTTCTTTATCGGGGCGTGATGGAAACGTCAGCCACCGTGAAACACTTGTGGTCTCCGGACGGAGCTACCATGCCATTTAGGGGGTTTGTGCCCGGACATCTTGACCTTTATGTGAGTGACCTTGTCACTTTTCAGTTTGTGACCTCTGCTAATACGGTGGCCAATTCTTTTCTCCTTTCACAGGGGTGTGACTTAGTCTCGGGCCTCTGTGCTCTCTTTCCTGTGATTTCTCTTACAGGTGACCACGACGACGCAGAAAACCCTGCGGTTTCCAGCAGTCCTGTGGTCAGTGGCGATATTGAAGGTGGCTCGGTGGTTGCTGCGCACACCTCTCTCACGGGCTCGGGAAGGCAACCCGGCCCGGGAGGTGTAGGTGCGTGCAGTGATGCTCTGCTCGGGGCCCCTCCTGACAAAGGGGGGGTGCTGAGTGGCTCTGAGTTTTCCGTTGCGGACTTCAACCGGTTCGGGGGAACGCCTCCTCCGAGCGGGCAGGTCATTGCAGAACTCGACACTGACCTTCCTCCAATTCAGCTGACAACATTGACCTCCGACCCGGAGTTAGGTGCTGCACCTTCTACGGGGTGGAGTTCTAGTCAGTCTGTAAATACTCTGGTTAAACCGGGTTTTTCTGATTCTGTGTGGGAACCTCCATCATTCTTGGGAATAAAGTATTCTTGGCTTCAGTTTTCAGGACAGACCATGTTCCTAAAGCTAGCATCATGTCTGTATCTGATTCTAAACATGGCTAGGTTTGCTTTGACACCCGTGACACAACCATCCTTGGATCACTCCTTTTCAGAACCTCCAAGTCCAACACCTCCAGGTCTTTGGACATCTGAACACCTACTCTTTCAGCACGATTCAGGTGACAATGTGCATCTTCTTGGTAATAGAGCTTTTAAGAGCTTAAGAACTGTTCTTTGTTATGCTTCTCCTGTCTCACAGACACGGCATACGTTTGAGAAACAAAAGGGGGGTGGGGAGCCTCCTCCCGCTTTGCGAGCATCATTTTCGCATTTCCAGTTCACTACTATTTCTGATCACAACAAAGTCGCCTCCGTTAAGCTGCAACACAACTTTGAGCAGGTAAAATCAGGTTCTGATCTAACAGCTAAACCATCAGCTTCGCTCCAGTTCCAAACGGAACCCTCAGGTAAATTCAAACAAGTTTCCCTGTGGGTTCGTAACACAAGATACAAACAGTTTGATAACCAAATCGCTTATGAGCCTGCTCCCACAGATACGTCCAAACTCGTGTCTCTGTGGGTCCGCAATACCAGATTCAAAACTCTATTCTGACCGACTCTATTCTGACCGGATTCTTTTCCACTGACTGGTGGACCGTTACAAATTCTCTCGTTTGTGGGATGAATTTTTAACAAATGTGATATCCTTTGGGTTTTTTTTTTCAGGTTACCTGCCTCCAGCCAGGGTCCTGTTACTAACTCACATCTTTAGGGATTACTAACCTACTGATTTACATTTTTAGAACTGATTTACATCTCTATCTTTTTATTAGTGCTTTGTGTAGCATGATTATATTTGATTACAAAGTTAATTTTATTTTGTTACTATTTCCCTTAAAGGGCCACAAGCCAATTTGCCCTTCATTTTCATGATTATTTCCTTTATATATATGCCTTTAATTAATGCAGCCTGCTGAGTTTCACATATCAGTTAGGATTTACTTTCTTTTATTTGTGTTTTCCCTGCATCACGTTTTTACATGACATGTAGAACAGGGTGCAGAACATTTCTTCTTTAGATAATTCACAGAAGGCATCCACATTTTCCCAGAGGCACCCATAGATAGGTTTTGATTGATTTCTTTGTTTTGCATCAAATGCTATCTATCATGTGGGCTGTCTCACTTTGTCTCCTTCTCCGAGCTCGTATGGACTACATTCCATCAGAGGGGTCGTCTTCACCATCCTTCAACTGGTTTCCTGTCGCATGGGGCTTCGGTCGTGGTTCGAGATGGGTCGAGGTCTGCGCTGGACTTCGCCTGGACTACGCCTGGGGAATACATCACCTGCCCAGCTCCGTGTGACACACGAGCTGCTTATCCTTTGAATACCTTTGCATTATTGCTGATGAAAATTAACTGCTATTGAAATAGCTCTGCTTTCAAGATTCCCTAAGTGGATTACTTTACAATGATTGCAACAGTTTTGGCCTTAATCATCTGATCAGGATAGACTCCCTTCTACACGAGACCTGTGGTGACGCTTCATCGTTCCTGCCTTCATCTGGGATGTCTACCTTCACGAGTACATCACGTTATTGTGGTTGTGACGTCAGGTGGCCTCTGCTTGACCTCCATGTCGTCACAAAAGGGGGGAATGTAACGTGAGGAAATATGAGTTTTCTGTCACAATGGTGGTGTTGGACTCAGCTGGGTCATAGCTGGGTCGCTGAGAACTTTCACCCACAGATTAAGACCTGAACGCCAGCGAGTCTGGGAGGAAACCATAACATCTGCCACCTGCAGTCTACCAGAAGATGTGTTTACATGAGTTGTACCCAGACCAAGTCAAAACATAAAGTTTAAACTTCATTTTCTTGATTTTAATGTTAAAGTAACCATTATCATTTTGCTCATTATAAATGTGATTAATCAAATGAATGACTATTTAGCTTTGGGGTAATTATAATGGTTTAATGAATCCATTCTTAAATAATGTTGAGAATGTTTGTTACTGACCTTCACACACACTCAAGCACAAACATTCACACACATCCACACACACCTGCTCACAGTAAACTCCAGACACATTTGATGACGCACGTTTGCTTTGAGAAGAGAAAGGTTTTTGGTAAGTTTTCAGTCTTTTGATTCAGTTCGTGTTGGACAACGAGAGAGAACAGACCTGAAAACCAAAGGGGGGGCAGAGCCTGTTGGCTCGTTCTTCCCCCCTTTCACGCTGTTTCTGCCAAGCCAGGAAGAATAGCTGAATCGCGACTTCTAACGAAGACTCATTACCGAGTCTTTTGATTTCTGAGTGAATTAACTTAAGAAAGCGCATCGATAAAACGCTCTACCATCCACGTGTACCGAGGGCAACTCTGGACCGGTTCCGTTCGACACCTATGTCTCCTGTCAGCCGCCGGTGTCATCTGGATGAACCACAACATCCTCCACGGCCCGGATCCGAAAGAGGGTCCACAAGAGTTCGGTGAGACAGAGCACGGTTTTAGCGTTTGATGCAGTTCTCTGATAAGACCTAAGTTTATCCAAACCATCACTTCACTCAGACACCTGTTTCTTCTTGAAGCAAAATCAGACTCACACACGCATTCATGTCACAACATTCTCAATCTTCATAAATTCACCAGAAGGTCTATTTGAGCAAGAACAGCACATAAACTGTTAAAAGATTGTCCCACAAAGTTGCCAATGTGATTGTTATTTCCTGTTTGTCAATTTTCAAAATCATTAGTTTAATTTGAAGAATTAAAACTTTTAATCCTTCAAACTTGTTTCCTCATTGAACTGAAACACAGACACTCAGATATTATCGGCAGTTTATGGATGAAAACAACCTTTGAGTCTTCTGAACAATATAAAATTTGGTTATTGATTTATTAAAATTAATATTCCGAATTAATACGTAGCATGGTTTCTCTTTCATAAAAGAGCATAAATCCATAACGCTACACTGTTCAGAGTCAGAGGACTCCAAAGCACTTTACCATCAGTCATTCATCCATTCACTCACTGATGGTGAGACGTGGACACAAAACCATGAACAGAGATGATCGAGTATTCACATTGGATCACGCACAAGGCGACATCGTCCTCTACTGCCCGCGGATAAACGGAAGTGACGCCACCAACATCGGTGACTCTGATGATGACTAGACATCAGCCGAAACATGTCAGGTAAAAATAAATAATTTCACTAAACTGTGTGAAAAAAGAACAAAGACACGGAAACTCATGCATCAAGAGAACATGCTAGTTTCATGAAGAAAGGCTGTAGCTGGGATTCAAACCTGCAACCTTTTCACCATACGTCAATCTAAATCAAGACTTATCTTTAAATTTACAACCAGCTAAGAAAACTACTGTCCAGAGTGACAAAAGCTTCTTTTGCTGTTTAGGTTTAAAAAAATGATAACTATGTGCTAACTCAGAGACTGAATCTTAAAGACAAAGTTCACTTGCTTTTTTCAACACATTTGCAGTGGTCTCTAGTATAAATGAAAGCTTTGAGAGTCGATCTCTGTGGGATAAATGCTCTGGTGCTCCTGTTGCAGGAACTAGATGGGAACCAGACCAGAGTTACACTGAAAACTGCAGAAACTTAGAGTCATATTTCCTTGAACATCTCGCCTCTGATTGGCTAACAGTAACATCCCTCTGCCACTGACTATATTTGCTTCACAACATTGACGTTTTATCTCCACCAATAACACAAGCCTGAAGAAATTCTGCTGTGTGATGGAGATGCTAATGCTAGCAGTTAGCTTCTACTAGCCGAGACATTCAGTGGACGCTAAATCAACAACGGGTGAGGCCATGAATGTTAACTTACTAAAAGTACAAGTAAAAAATGTTTCTCAGTGAACTTGGCCTTTAAAGCAGAGATGAGCTGAAAATTATTTTTTTAAACATTTAGTTTATATTTTTTTATTTATGGATAGTTTAATTATGTATTAATTTAAACAGATTTCATATTTGAACTAATATTTCAATTCAACTGCTGTTTAAAAGTTAGATACATGGTATTCAGAGGGGAAAAAGGTGTGTTTTTATGTAGACACTTCAAAAAACCCTCATTAAAAACTTTATACTGTGAAACTGTGGTATTGTTGCTCAAGGTTATACCATTTAAATGGCATGCAGGTCTATAGCTAGTTACCGTCCACGGCAAAGAAATTATTACATTTTTTTTTACATAGTTTTAAAATGGACTAATCTTTATATTCTCATGAAAGATGTTGTGCCTCATTAAAGTCAAGGAAAGTCAAACAGATTTGTCTATTTATCAAACTAAGTATGCTCTCTGTGCAACAAATTTAGTCATTTCCTTAAGTGGTTGCCCCCAGAGAAGAACAACATTAATTTGGGTGGTACTGGAACTATAGAGCAATTTTCCCAAAACAGATTTTTTTTACCCTTATACAAAGGGTAGGGGTAATTTTTAGAGTCACCAGTTAGCCTGAACATGCATGATTTCGGTCTGTTGGATGACATCGGAGAATTCTAAGAAATCCCTGACATGCATATGGAGAACATCCTAACTCCCCTGCAAAGAAAGTACATCCAGGGTTTGAATCCGTGACCCCTTTGCTAGGAGGCGACAGAGCTACCAACTGCACCATGTGCAGCTCACGTTTTGAATATTTACACACCAGCTACTTCAGTAACCGGGTTACGCCAATTCACTTAATTTATACATCGCAATGTGACTCGTGCTGATTCAGAATTGGTTTGCAAACGTTCATAAACAATTATAAATACATGCTGCAAAACTCAAAGATTGGGAGGACCATAAATGATATGTGTGCCACTCGGACACTTTAGGGGGACGGACCAGTAGAAAAAACAAAATAGCAATGCCAGCTTGTTTATTGGTCTCAGCCACTGAGCGTGGATTTTACTCATCAAAATTAATGGGAAGTTGTATGTAACTAAAATAACATACAACAGCAACACTAATGCAGCAGCACCTTACACGGTCCTTCCTGGGTTGGATGAAGAGAAGAAGCTGGATGGATTAATAAAACTAGCTTGAAACGCCAGCCTTTTTCATGAAACAAGGCATTACATTGCTACAAGGCAGAGGCAGTGCCAAGGAGCCTTTGGTCATTTATAAGGTCAGTCTGTGGCAGTAGCATGGTGAGATTATGTGTTTTCACAATGATTACGCAATGGCGGTATAAAGTGTGTGTTTGGACCATCTACGCACCGTCACAGACTTATCTTTAGCTCGAGCATAACTTGTTTTCTATGCTGATTGAAGCAACGCTCTTTAAAGCATCTTTCTGGAGTATTTCTCTTATTCGACAGCATCATCTAGTGGCTGACAAGCATATCACACAAATAGTCTGTCGATCCATTTTATTAAGATGGCGACTTCACGTTTCTTGTTTATGATTGTACTTCTGTAGCCAACAAACTGAGCTAAAACACGTTTAACAAGAATTATTCTCATGTCTTGTTGTGATTTCATATATTTATATTTTAAAGA